TTCATTACTCGACAAACTTAACTGGTTTTTGATGTCAAGAGCAGTTTTGTGCGGAGCTGTAGAAACCACCGAACTCTCTGAGGGTTATATCGATCGTTGCGAGACGCAAAAACGTGAATGAATCTCGCCTCTAAAAGCCACTCGACATGGGTCTTTAGTCGATTTGGTTGTCATGGTTATGATGTAAGAGCAAACAGTGCGGTCATTTCATCAACAGTCGCTCTGCGGTGCATTGTCTCCAAAATGGACCCAACTACAAAAGATAAGTAATACGTTTACGGAATTAAATCCGGCTGAATCAAAGTCGGAAGTCGCTGAGCTAATCCGATCGATTTATACTGTACTGAAAGGAAGCCATAAGCTACTTACGGTACCCACCTCTTGCAATAGGCCTGACTTTGTTCTCAGAATAACTGCCTATCAACAAGGTAGAAAGGTGTCATCTCGCTACATTGACAATTAATTAAGGCACACATTTGAATGAAAGAAGGTCAAAACCGATACAAGTCAAATTCACCATGAAACATTCCACTAAATTATAATTAGATAATTATTCCTTTAAAGACCAGTACCAGGAAGTTCCAATCGTTGATCTCGATAATTAAATTAACCACTGGATTGGCTACTGTAAACGTTTCAGTCCCTCTGTAGGTGCAACTGATGTTGAAATAACTGAAACATTTTATATTAAACTTAAAACACGTATGAGAAAGAATGAAAGAAAACAGACAACCTCACAGCATTTTTCGCAAATTTCTAACACGCAAGGGCTAGGAACCTAGATGAAGATATTTTGTCACGTGACCATTTCAAGAAAATATCTTAGATATTCTAGGATTTGAGATTCTCACGGTGGTGAATATAAAAATGGCTGTCTTCTATGTTGTAGCGCCGTTAGGGGTCTTTGCTGCCTCCATCATCAGGGCGATACGTCAGTAAACTTCTACCAGATTGCAAAACGCTACAACCCAGAAGACGGCCATCTTAGCTTAGATATTATTTTTGTTTCTGAATCTAACTCTCGAAGTTTAAAATACAATTTATAACGACGGTTTAAAATAAATGGGTTACATGGTGGCATTTTATAGGTTTAAAAGAATCTTATAAAATAGCTAACTAATTTTATCCACAAAATGGAGTTTACTGGATTTGCATTTAAATCCGTCAATCGGTGACATGCTAACCACATCCATATTTGAATCAGACGTGATCTACCAGTAGATGGGATAATATCAAAATTCATCTTGGAGTTTGGTCAAAGTCATTCGGGACAAAGTTCAAAGACAGGCTTTTGTGAAACCGATAATGAACCTTCAATTTCCCTAAAAGCTTGTAAATTTATTGGCCGGCCGAGCTACTGTCAAATTTCTGGAGACGATCCTGTACCATGAATTTACTCAGTTACTTAGTCAGCCAGCTGTTAAATTCGACTAGACGTATTTACATCAAATAAAGGTTCTTGACTGTATGAAGTCTTGAGGTAGTATAGTTGCGTCATATTGTGATATTAATTAAAATAATTATTATATTTGTTTACCGTCAAATCACAATAAAATAGTAAGATAAGATAATTAAAATGATTAAAATATCATCTTATGTTCCATATCGAGCATTCGATTTACATCGGAACTTTCACAACATGTTTCGGTTTATCAAACCGTCATCAGGTGTAAATTATAAACTTTTAAACTCAAATTACATTTATTTATAGTTTTACAATTTTATACTTTTATCATCTTTCTCAGTATATTT